ATTGGAGCTTCACTCTGTCGCCCAAGTTGGAGTACAGTGGCACGCTCACAGCCACCACAGCCTCGACCTGCTGGGCTCAGGCAATCCTTTTGCTTCAGCCTTCCAAGCAGCTGGAACTACAGGCATGTGCCACCACGCCCAGCTAATTTTTTGATTTATTGTAGAGATGAGGTCTCACCAAGTTGCCCAGGCTGGTCTCAAACCCCTGGCTCAGGCAATCCTCTCGCCTCAGTCTCCCAAAGTGCTGGGATTATAGGCATGAGCCACTGCACCCAGCCTAAAGTTTTTTGGTGGTTTTTTTTGAGTCAGAGTCCCACTCTGTTGCTCAGGCTGGAGTGCGGTGGTAACGTTCATGGCCGCAGCAGCCTCATCCTGCTGGGTTCAGGCAGTCCTTCCTCCTCAGCCTTCCAAGTAGCTGGAATTACAGGCTAGTGGTGCACTACCACACCCAGCTTATTTTTTATTTATTGTAGAGACGAGGTCTCACCAAGTTGCCCAGGCTGGTCTCCAATCCCTGAGCTCAGGCAATCCTCTCATCTCGGCCTCCCAAGTGTTAGTATTGCAGGCTTGAGCCACTGCGCCCGGTTAAGGCTAAAGTTTTTAATTAAGAAATATAGCATCCTATCTCCAAAAGGCCTACAAGAAATGTGTTAAAAGGGGTTATATATTGCATAGTCAGTAGAGACTAGATTAGATTATATGATGGTAACCACTCAGTCTACAAATCCCAATGGCTGAAAGCCACAAAAGTTAATTCCTTCATACTATATGTAAAAGTCATTAAGAAGGTTATGCTTGTCACTGTCACCCAGAATGAGAGTGAACACTGTTACTTCTCCTTGTCAAAGAGAATGCACCCGATCTTTACAGCTTCTTCCCAAAGCAAGTCTCATGGTCACACTTAACTGCTAAGTGGGCAGAGTATAATTCTACCATGTGCCAAGGAGAGAGAATGTCGATATCTGTGAACTTAATCACTACTATGCCTGGGAAGCTGCAGGAAACACCCTTGAATACTGCTGTATGAGGGGGGACCCAAATAAAAACAGATGTATTTTTAAAATTGTGTATTTATTCTTATATGTTTAAACTTCAGTCACCTTCAAAGTACTCTCCATTTGATGCAATACACCTATTGAGATGCTCTTTCCACTGCTCAAAACAGTTTTTTGAACTCATCAGTTTTGATGCCTTTTAGTGCATCTGTCATTTTTTGTTTCACCTGTTCCACATTAGCAAGCCATTACCCTTTGAGGACTTTTCATCTGAGGAAACAAAAAAAAGTAGCCTGGGGAAAGATCAGGTGAATAAGGAGGGTGGGGTACCAGGGTTATGCTGTTTTTGGCCAAAAACTGCTGAACACTCAGTATGATGTGGGCAGGTATGCTCATAAATCAGCCATCATGAAATGGGCAAATGCACTGAAAGAATCTCAAAAAATATTCACTGAAGCTAAACAAAACCTCACACACCAATGCTAGCTGGTACAATGATGCTGATAGATTCCTAGAACACTTATCTAGTGGGAGAAGCCTGTACTACAAGGGGCCTGCCCTCCAAAAAATAATTCTGGGTTCTTCGATACCCTCTCATATATACTATTTTTCTTGTTTGGCTACTTCACAAGGAATATGTATTATTTTCACATTTAAAAACACACTCAAACACAGAATTTAAAATTTGCCCAGGAGTTGTACTTCAGACTATGGGGTAAAGACCGAGGAACTCCTAATGTCTTATTACAGTAACTTTAACAGCAAGTCCAAGTTTAAGAGGTGGTAATACATTTTTTTTAAAAAAAAGATTATGTCTGCAAGGCTAAAATAATATTAAATTCCACCAATGATCTTAGTTTTTTTCTTTCTACTAGGAAGTAGAAACAGGAATATGAAAAGGGGATGATATCACACTGGAGGTGCCCTCCACCATGGCCAGATAGCCCAGGTGCTTCATGTTGTAGGACGTGAAGACACCACCTTGCCTCCACCACCGCCCACTAAATAAACAAAAATGACTTCTTCCCTCTCCAAGAGCTCAAGTTGATCAAGGAGGAATGAATGTGGCAGCCATGAAAACCATATCCTGTGTTCGCTTCTTGTATCTTTAATTAAATAAATAGGTGCTTGGACAAGACCACATCTAAGCTTGCAAGGCTAACAGCAGGCAAAGCAATTGCCTGAAAGGCCACATGGAGCTGGAGACAAAGCAAAAGCTTCAGAACCAGCCAGGACTGGGTCAAAATCTCTCCATACTTACCTAGTTGCACAACCACATACAAACTACTCAACTTCTCTAAGCCTCAGTTTCCTCATCTCTAAAATGAGGCCTATATTTTGCCTTCTTTTCATTGCCAAGTTTCTCAGATAAATGACCTATATGCAGACCCAGGCAACCCAGGCCCCTATTCTGGACCTCAAGGTGCAAGGGGGGTTCCTTTAACCTCTTCAGTTATGCTCCCCTCAAGGGATGAAGGCATCTTGGGACCAACAGACATGCACACCATGAGCCCACGCCTGCTATTAAGACGCTACTCTGGGTAACCTAGAGCCAGGAAGTCCCTGCCCAAACAACAGTGAGCCTGGCTTCTAACTGCAAAGACCTGTTCTCAGGTTCTTGCTTCTGATGGGACATGGATAGAAAGTGAATGTGAGGACCAGGGGATCCAAGCAAATGTGTGAAGCCAACTCAAAGTACAGAGCAGCATGTGGGGTAGGAAGAGAAAGGGACTTGGGCTCAGAGGGTGTGGTGAGCTTGGCCCATGGACACATTCCAGCATGTAACTCTGAAGAATCCAAATTCTTAATTTAAACCTGACCGTCCAGGTCTACATGAAGATTTGTTTGTCAAAGTGTGAGAACAAAACAGATGTGCTCATTTAACTTACACACATACGGAGTGTGGGTTTTGATTTAATTTTGCCACAGACTTTGCATATGTTACAACTGGACATGTCTGCATCTATTACTAGTAGCCTAGCATGTGTATATGGCATTTGTTGCATCCACTTTCAAATATCACCACACTTAAGCGTCAACAATATCATGGTTTAGGTTTCATTAGCCCTGCTGCAAAGATAAAGAAACAGATATGCATAAAAAACCTATACCCAGTGCTCTTTCTTTCTACCTCCACATCAACCTCTTCTAACTCCCAATCCTACTATACCATAATCACCAGTACTGCACACTCCAAGACAATGTATCCCAGTCCCTGAATCTAGCCCTTATTGGCCATGACCTCTCTCCGGCATCTGATACTGTCAAGCATTTTTCCTTTCATAGACTAGCTTTCTCCTCTGACTTCTAAGGCTACATTACTCGTTTTTCACCTAGGTTTTTGCTCTTTCTCTGGCTCCTCTTCTTTCTCAGAATTTTTATGAAGGATAAATAAGATAATGTTTCTGGATAGTGTCAGCCAAAGCATAAATTTAATAGAAGTTAGATGTTTTTGGAATCTAAAAAGTACAGCTGCCACTTTTTAGTACAGTGCTGGTTACAGCACTAGGTGAGATATAGGTAGATACATATATATAAATAAAATATTACAACCCCATTTTAATAATAAAACTGAAGTTCAGATTGGTTATCAAATTAAACTGTGTTAGACATCTGGCTCTAATACTTTCTAGCTTTATGTTTCTAAGTAAGTCATTTAATTTCTCTGAGTTTCTGCTTCCCCAGCTGTGTAATGTTGCAATGTTCTTGTAAGACTGAATAAAACAGGTTATAAAACAAACAGTACATGGCATATAGTTAATAAATGTTAACTCCTCACCTTCCTGTTGCTTCCAGATGAATAAATTCGTTTGTTCTCTCTCTTGGGCACACTTTCAAAGACTAAGTCCTTTGTCACTTGACTGACTTTCTTTATACTTCTTACCTATTGAATCCAACTCCTCCAGAAAGATGGTTCTGAATGATCTGTGTTTAGACATCTAATTGGTCAGGCCCTTTTCTAAGTTTTGCTAGTTATTTCTACTTAAGAGTTCCAGCGCCTGCCATGCCAAATTGACCTTTTTTCTCACAAGAAGAATGGGAAGCAAAAGACTAGGGCAGCATAAAATATTACAAAGGCAGAGTTGATGGGATGAATGATAAAGAAGTTTATTTTCAGTTTTAGCTTGTCTAAAGAAATTACAAAAATTGAGAAGCAGGGTTTTTATAGAGCATGTAAAATTCTCTCCCCCTTTTCTTTTTCCTCAATTCTTCAGATGTGACACTCGAATTCTTCTATTTTCCTAACCTCCAAAGCCCAAAATGTCCACCATCCTTTGAATGCCCTCGCATTTACATGTTCCATTCATCTAACATCTAAGTATGCACCACCTTCTATTACCGAGTTTTATAACCTTACATCTTATCTTCCTAACTATGCTGCAGGTTCTTTCAGGCCAATAACCATCTCTTATAAGTTTAGTATCCTTCATAATACCAGTAAATGCTGATTGACTACTGTTATGAAGATATGGTCAAGAACTCAGATAATCATGAACAAAAATGTTTTCAGATTTTTTTCTGACATAGGAAAAAAGCTTTTCAAATCAAAAGAAAACAGTAAATTTTCTATTTCTTTCTCAGGGTATTTAGTCTTGGCTTTAAAAAGAAAAAAAAAAAATTCCCCAACATAAATTTTATCAGTCATGTGTAAAAAACTTTATAAATTATTTTCAAGGATTATGCAAACTTTTCTTCAAAAAATACTTAAAATTTCTAAAATGGTTAATTTCTACTGAAAAGCAAGTCTGAAGACTATAACATAAGTCTCTAAAACTATGCAATATAGACTGATGTGCTATCTATTAAATATTAAGAAATTTTAAAACTTCTAAAACACAGACACCAAAAAACAATTATTGTAGAGTTTACTTAAAACCATAGATTTCTTCTTTGATTAGATGTATTTCAAATTTGGGAATATCGGATTACAGTACATTTTTTTCACTGTGATCAAAACAGAAGAACTGCAGCATCAGAGAGCTGCCTTTGATTTGCTGGCTTTACCTGAGTAGCTTTGTCTTTCATGCATGAAGGGTAGTGAACGTGAGGATCCCGTGGCCACTGTCCTGTGAGGTAAGGTCCTGTGATTGCATCCAAAGAGGAGGTTCGCCTTATGGTACTGGAGGTTCGAACTTGCTGAGATTTTGGCCTATCCACTATAAAGAGTGAAAAAAAAGGAGATCAGTCGTTAACAAATGACATACCATTTAAAAATTATTTAAATTCCATTGTTTGTAGAATGTCATCCTGTCAATTTTCCCTACAATATGTATTTATCCTAATAGCCCAGTTATATTATGAAACTTATAAAACATCTTCCAAGGAAAATACATTCACATGCTAATTCTTACACCTATTTCCAGGGCTTTCACAGACCCTATGAAGTCTATCCATTTTAGAGATCTGTAATAAAATTGATGTATTATATGCAGGCCATTACTGAATTAAGCCTCCATCACATCCCACCTGAACTGCTAGTTTTCTAACTGCATCGATCACAACTAAATATTCAGATGCCAGGCCCTCTCCTGCTAAAACACTTTTCCATGGTCAGTCACTTCTCTCTAACTTAAAACCCATGCAATTTGTTTAGTATGACACAGTAAGCTTTCACAGTTTGGCTTCTGTATGCCTCAACATTTAATGTCCTGCTACTCCCACATGAGCCCATGCTAACTGTCATATGAATGACCTGTATTTTTCTGAAGGTAAAATGTGCCCTCGCTGCCTCTGTACACTCTCCTTCCTGATCACTCCTTCCTTGTTCACTCATCAAACTCTTATCATCAAACCCAGCTCAGATGTCACACCGCCTCTGTGAAAGTTTCCCAGGTACCCCTTCCCCTCCTTCCTTCTCCATAAGAGACACCCTTCCCTTCTCTGCTTTCCTGGTACCCTAAACTTGTCTCCCTCACCAGAGACCCTACAGAATGAAATTATGGAGTCAATGTTCTACACTTAATGCATTTATTCACAGCTACACAAAAATAATGTTTCTAAAGAAATTTATATTTTAATTCAAATTCCTCAGTTATAAATGAAGCGTTTAAAACTAGAGGAATATTGTCCAAAGAGAGAGAGATGCTAACAGTGGAAAGAGGTAAAAAGGAACCAAAATCTCCAGACATCTACATAGTCAATCAATCTACAGTAACAATCGGCTTCTCCTCCCCATATGAGTACCACAAGCATTTCTGTTTAAAATTGTCACACTGAACACTGAACACACAAAGAAACTGTAGAGGATTTTCCACATATATAACCAAAACAACTTACTACCAGTGTGTTTTCTATAATAAAGTCCAGTGGATTGCAGGTTCCTAAGGTGGAGTCTTTCCAGCATCATTCACTTCAAACAAAACGTCTTGCATATCACAGAGTGCCAAAACCACTTGCTACTGAATGCTGCCCTTCAACTACTTTCCCAAAGCCAGAATCCACAATGAGTTTACCAGAAAAATGAAAATAGAGTATACTCTGATGTTATCATATTGTCCAGATAACCTCTTACAACGCAGTTTTGGTTTCTTCTTTGACCTAAGAGTTGTTAGAGAAGATCTTAAAATTACCAAATTCCTTCCTTTATTACTGAGCTCTAATTTTATTGTACTGCACTAACATATAACACATACCACATAATGTACATTATGTTAAAGGTGACGCTGCAGACCAGTGGGCCAAGCATGGTCTTTTCAGTAAGTGGTACAGGACCGATTGTGTATCCTCATGGACAGAAGGATCATGACCTTCACATCATACTTAACCCCAGAGACATCTCGCAGATCACCTACCAGCAAACTGACCACACTTTTTTACAAAATGGTGAAAAATGAATCACTTCGTATAAAATAGTATAGCATTGGAACCAATTATTTTATTGTAATAATATTTGACTGATAATGGAATTCTGGACACTGAGGAACTTATTTATGACCAAAAAAATCAAAATCTTATATATTTTTCTATGTTTGGTAACATGTGAAACAGTCACTGACATGCATTGCAGGTTCATGGATATACGTCGCGCAATAGTAATTTGTTCGACATCTTCCACATGGTTTTTTTCTGTTTGAGCAGACAATGCAGTCTCGTTTTCTTTCTCCTACAATAATAATGTGCAATTTATTGTCTGTTTTTCAAAGATGATGTGGAAACACAGTCTCTTTCTATATAAGGCCAGCTGATTTTTTAATATATATGTCTCAGTATATATTCCATCTTTTTATTTGCTTTTTTGTGCAATTTGAATGGAAAAATTCAAGGAAACATACATTTTTGAAAAATTTGTGCTGGCATAAATTTGTCCTGTATAAATCACTGCAATCTCCTCCTGTCCCCTGAGGGGGGACATCCAAGTGGTGCTAGATTTACAACGTTCCCTCAGAGGGGACATCAAGTGCAAAGGGTGGCGGAAGGATCGCTGGAGCCCAGCAGGCCGAGGTTGCGGTAGCTGGGAGCGGCCACTGCACTCCAGTCTGGGCGACAGAGTGAGACTCCAACTCAAAAAAAAAAAAAAAAAAAAAAAGACTTCTATGTGGGCTGTAGATCTAAATAAAAGGTATACCACTGAAGGCAGAGAATCTAATGTGACCTATGTATTTACTCTTTGGAATTATCTGGAATGTTCTCTGTGACTAAACACATGGTCAACTTTTAAAACATTTCATGAGTCATGGAGAAGATACATTTTGTTTTCAGAATATATGGGTCCTTTATTTGTCTTGTGTATCAACTGAATTCAATTAAAATATAGAATAAAAGAATAATTATCAGCTTGTTCTGTCACAGACTTTAAAAAGTACTCTAAAATCTCTAGCCTACTGTCAAGTTCTAAAAAACTTTTTTTTTGCAATTTTTGACATTTATATTTTAGATCTATATAATTTAGTACACATAGAATCTTGACATCATCATTATGGCTTATATGCAACACAATCATAATCTGTCCCATTCTGTCTAACCGAACACTCTAATCCCTTCTGCTCTCTTCCTGTTATAGTTTGCCTGGTGTGCCTATCCTTTCATTTCCAAGTCATTTTGCTTTATGTGTATCTCATATGCAGTATGTCATTATGCTTTCTGAGGGGGAAAAAAAGCTTTGTGGTAAGCCTTCTCGTGTAAAAGGTAAGTTTATCCCACTTATATTTACTGTTATAGCAAATTCGATTTAATTTATAATGTAATTGATTTCCATTTTGTAATGTTTCCTTGCTATTTGTTTTGTTTTATTGTTTGCTGCTTCTTTTCCCTTCTTTCCTCCTCCTCTACCCCCATCATAAATAATTTGGAAAATATATAAACTTTCTTTAGTTCTCCTACTAGAATTTATTTCTAGTAATTTTTTCAATTTTTTTCCTGGTTATAAAAGCAGTATCTACTAATTTTAGCAACTTTGGGAAACACAGAAAACTAATATTACTCCCATAATCCGATTTATAACTATTTGTTTACAATTTTAAAGTTACTTTATCTTCTTTCTTCCAAGAAAAAACAAAAGACAAAAACAAACTGTCCTTTGAAAGACACAGCCAGTAATTATAGCAGCTGACCACCAAATTTAAAAGGCCGACATAAAGTTCGGCTATAACCAGATCATGAAAAACCATTTTATGTGAAAAACTGTGCCTGCATTTAAACTGCTTTACTATTTAAAAAGTGTATGTAAGCCGGGCTTGGTGGCTCAGCCTGTAATCCCTCGCCTTTGGGAGGCTGAGGT